TGTCCTTGGCGCAGGGGAGGCTGGGATCGCGGAGGACCGCGCGTGAGCTGGCGGGGCGGCAACCTGCAGCCCAGGGCAAGATCAGCCTCCACGGAGCCGGCCGGCTTTGGCCGCGGGAGGAATAGTCTGAGGGACCCGCGGCAGCGCGGCGCTCTCGGCCTGCTGCAGCTGCGTTTCGAGGCGGAGCCCACCCTTGGTGGGGTCCCCCCAAGCCGGCGTGCCCGGGGGCTCTGAGGACCCGGACCGTGTTGTGGAAAACTGTTGTAATTCGGACTACACCGCGACGGCGCGGTGCAGAAGACCTGGCCGAGGACATTGTGCTGCGCTGGAAACGGCTTCGGAGTACTCATCGCAATTTTCAAAGAAGGGATGTAGTGGTCAGTGTTTCCCTAATTATTTAACAACAAAATTCTTTCTTGGTGTTACGGCTCCAGAGGCAAGTATTTTGGTAAACATCTTTTGAAAAACACAGATTTAAAGAAATCCAATGGTGAATACTTTTGAAAAGCTGATGTTTGGCTTCATTTCCTTTGTACCTATCTCGAATTTTAAATATTCTGTTCACTTAAGCCAAGCTATCACCAAAGTGACTGCTGTCTTCCTGAGCCTGTCACCTCTGGGGCCCCCAAGTACATGGGTAATGATGACTTTTCTCTTTAACTTTTTCTCTCCTGGTTCCCACAGGCATTTGGGAGCTAACTGTTCACACCACCTTCATGCAGAAGGAGAGCTTCACTGTGGATGAGCCCACCACAGTGCCAGTGGACACGAAGAGGAAAAGAGAACAAATGATTTACATGCAGTTGAGGGAACTGTTTGCTACAGTGGTTAAAATGCCCTACACTGGAAACGTGTCCATGGTTCTTGCACTCCTGAGTGCGGGACAATTTCACTCTGCTCTAAGAGGGATGGTTGCTAGACAACCTGAACTTCTGGAATCCAGTGACCTGAGGTATGCATGCTCTTCTGGGGGACATTCTAGTCTCATAATGAATTCACAATCCCTTTTAAGTGTTTGTTCGGAGCTCACTTCCTCTATGCGAAAGTCTTACTTTGGGGGAACTGAGCATCTGGCTATTTCCTAGTGTATTTGTAGAAAACGAAACTAACCCAACAGGAAGAATGGAGTGGCTTAGATTCCATTACCATTGGAACCCCCTTAAACAGTCTTAATTATCATTCTTTCGGTTACAATGTATAGTATTAGAAACCCACTTTGTACAAGGTCAAAGGATCATAAAAGGAATTCATTGGAAAGATACATGAATATTTCATGGAACCTAAGGGAACAAACACAGCCAACTCTTACGGGGGGTTGGAGCAGGGGACATCTCAGTGTCTCTTGTCTTTGCCCCTAACCTTTCTAGCTCAGCAGACCGTATTCAAAATTTTGGCACACAAATTACTCGCCCCAAAACTATTTTCTGGCTGTCTACTCTATGCCAGACACTATTTGGAGCTGGGAATATAATGGTGAGCAGAAAATGTCCCTGCCATCACGAACTTTCCAGCCTGGTGGGAGAGGCAGAAAGTTAAGTAACAAATACGTAATTTCAAATTGCAGTAAAAGTCATGGAGAAAATGAGGAGGGTATATAATGGAGACTTCACTGGTGGTGTTGGGGGATCTTAATTAGGTGTGATGGTCAGGGAAGTATCCTAAAGAGGCAAATTTCAAGCTGAGGCCACTGTGGACAGACTTGGCTCTTCTCCATTCAAGCAGACACTCCAGACTGAAACCAGCACCTTTCAGTTCTAATTACATATTCCTGGAATAGAGAATTTCATTTTTCCAGCTTAGTTCTGGCATCTACCAATGTGCAATCAATTGGGAACAAATTACACAGAGAAAGCGTGATTTCTAACGGCCCGCCCATCTTGGGGTGCGGAGGACACAGTTTTCGGGTAATAAATGTGTAGTTTGGGAAGAAATCTCCAAATAGCATTTGCTACATGCCTCTTGGCAGCATAAACTATTGCCCGGTCAGCCTCTGCCATGGTTGAGGGTCACAGCAAAGTTTCTCCGTAATCTTCTCTCACATTTGCCTCCAATAATGTTGTTGGTTGGACAGAGGAGATACAGGAATAGAGAAACCCACCTGACTGGGTCATTATTTAGTAAGAAGCTTGAGACCACCTTGACCCAGGCTAAACTGCACTGGTCTGTGAGCAACGGCAAATAGCGGGTGGGTTCGGCACTGTGTGATCTCTTAGTACACTTCAGCCTCAGAGCTGCTGATCTGGGAGGTGGGGAGTAGCGTGGTCCTTCTCTCTGAAATCCCACCCTCAGGACTAGAACTGTCCTCACCT